CGAGAGTCTGGCTAGAGTTGGTGACTTCATCCCTCCTCCTTTGTTCAGATAAAAAACGGTTGCTATATTGTCCGAGGTTATCTGAACGATCTGATGATGAAGGAAGTCCTCGAAAGAATGGAGGGCCTTGAAGACTGCCAGTAGCTCCAGGAAGTTGATATGCTTCGTGGATTCTAGAGGATTCCACGTACCCTGGGTAGATAGGCCAGAGCATATCGCTCCCCATCCTAGGAGAGACACGTCGGTGCTGAGGGTTCTCGTAGGAGATTGCGCCCTGAAGGGAACTCCTAGCGTAAGATTGGTCGGTTTCAGCCATCAGCGCAAAGAGTGGAGCACGGAAGATGGGATCCGAATCAGTTTGGACTGTGGCTCTCTTTGAGGGTGATACACCCTGTTGAAAAATAGTTGTAGAGGGCGAAGCCGAAGTCTAGCATGTGGAACCACGGCAACTGAGGACGCCATATGTCCCAGGACCCTCTGGATAGACCTCGCCGTGACCGTTCCCTCTCGTCGGATTTGATGGATAAGGCAAGCAAGAGTCTGTTGTCTGTCTTGTGGGAGGAAAGCTTTCTCCAACGTCGAATCCAAGCGGGCTCCAATGAAGGTAAGCGTCTGTGTCAGGAGAAGAGAAGATTTCTCTGTATTAATACGTAAGCCTAGGTCATCTAGTAAGGCACAGGTCTTATGGATGGCCGCCAAAAGTCCTTCTCTGGACTGTGAGACCAACAGCCAGTCATCGAGGTACGGATAAATTTGTATGCCCTGAAGGCATAGGAAGGCACAGACAGGAGCCATGCACTTGGTAAAAACTCTCAGAGCCGTAGCCAGTCCAAAAGGTAAAACTGTGAACTCATAAAGTTGGCTTGCAATCGCAAAATGAAGGAAATGCCTGTAATTTGGGTGAACCGAAATGCGGAAGTAGGCGTCCTTCAAGTCCAGTGAGGCAAACCAATCCTCTCTCCTTAACAACGGCAAAATGTTTTGAAGGGTAGTCACACGAAACTTTCTCGGTACAATAAACGTATTTAAGTGCCGTAGATCCAAAATCGGATGTAGACCACCACCCTGCTTAGGGACCATGAAGTATCTGGAATAGAATCCATGAAGTCCGTCAGATGGCAATACTTGACGAATCGCTCCTTTACGGAGAAGTTGACGTATTTCGTCGAGGAGTACCAGTGAGCATACAGTAGACCGGATCGGACTCGATGGAGGAACGATGTCGAATTCTATTCGACAGCCGTGTTGAACAATGGATAATACCCACCGGTCAGATGTGTTGGACTCCCAAATGGGTAGTCGGCTTCGGAGCCAATCCCCAAATGAGAGGGAGGTGGGTATTGAAGGAGTGTGAGGAATGGTTCGCCAGTCCTGTCAGCATTGCCTCCGATCGTCAAAACGAAAGTGGCCCTGCTGAAAACGCTGTTGGGGCTGAGGACGGCGGCGCTGCTGTTGTTGTTGCTGGTGGTGTTGAGGCTGCTGTCTCGGTTGGTAGGATTGCCTGTAGGATGGATGATTCCAGGACCACTTACGTCTAGTGTGAGACTGGATCTCCATCCTGCGTGCCGTCATCCTCGATTCATGGAGCTTCTTGAGCTTATGGTCGGTTCGAGAATGGAAAAGCCCGGATCCATCGAAGGCATTTCCTCTATCCACCGCTTGGTTTCTTCCAGGAAATTACAATTCCAGAGCCATGCATGCCTCCGAAGGGAAACGGCACCGACCAAGGCCCAGGAGTCAGTATCCATGTGGTGCCTTGCCGTGGATAACTGCTGCACCGCGACCTGCATGGCTTCCTTGATCAGGACCTTCGCGAGATCACCCTGGTGGTCTGGGAGGGTGGAGGCGACGTTGTGGAGGTGCTGCATAATAAAATATTGATATCTCGCCAACGTCGCCTCATAATTTGATATGTGAAGTCCCAAGCCCGAAGCAGCATAGACTCGCCTGGCCAGGGAGTCTATTTTTCGGCCCTCTTTATCTCTCGGTGCCGTGTGTCCTCTCGCCTCTCTGCCCTGCGAGGATTCGATGACCGCAGAGTTCGGTTTCAGGTGTTTGAGGAGGAAGGGAATATCCTCTTCCCGAACCCTGTACATCGACTCATACCTCCTGGATGTTGGCTGAGGATGTGATGGCAGGTCCCAGGGCTGCATCATCGCCTGCTGCAAGGTGGTTATGAGCGGCAGAATGATAGATGTCAATTGCTCCCCGCGGATGACGTCGTAAAACTTGTCCGTCGACGGTCCCAGGTGCTGGGCAGCGTCGATGTTCAGGGACTGGACAAGTCTTGACATCAGCTCCGCGAAGGAGACGTGGGACTCGTCGGGTGATGAAGGACCCTGGAATGTCACAGCGACGTCCGGGGAGGTTGAGTCGACCTCCGAGTCAGCCGAATCGGCACCGTAGTAGGGTGGGGCCGAAGATGACGACTCTGCCGGCGAGAAGGCGCGGGTGCTTCCACTTTGTGGGGATCGAGGTGGCACCCGCCTCGAATCCACTGATTGTGGTTGGTCGTGGGGTGGAGGAGATGATCGTGACCTGGGAGCAGGGTAGTATCCTACAGAGAGAGGATCGCCCCAAGTATGGTAGTAAGAACGACGCCAACTCTCCGGGCGTTGTTCTACCGAGCAGCTCCTCCGGCACCCTGGTGGGGACAGGCCAACGTCCGTTTCCATCGTTACCGCGGGCATGGGTGTCGGTGATCTCCCCCTAGGAGGGGAGTCTTGGATTTCCCCATCAGAAATTGAACCCCGTAGAGTTGGAAGGGGTGCAGGTGGGAGGTCAACCGAACGGCGGGGAGACCCTTGAGGGGTAACCCGCATAGCCTCCTGGAGGATCGGTTCAGGCGGGGTCGGTATTGTAACTGCCACCGGTGCCGAGGCTCCCATCGGTTCCGAATTCCAATTTCGGGGACGGTCCAGAGTCTTAGACTTTTTTGTAGGCTTGGAGACCTTCTCCTTTCTGGCCTTCTTATGGCCTGCCGACTTCTCTTTGGTGTGCTTCCGCTTTTCATGCTTCTTTTTAGGTGAAGCAGAGGGGGCCACCGAAGCAGACGCACCTTCGTCCGAAGGCCGTGAGGGTGGGGCCACAGAAGTGGAGCCAGGTTTTGGGACAGCGATGAGCGGGTCTGACTGCATCAGAGCCCGATCCCAAAGGAGCCTCCAAAGCCAGTTTTCGCGGTTCTTCCTGGCCTAATTGGAGAAGGCCAGGCAATGCGCGCATTTATCAGTCCTATGCCCCTCTCCCAGGCAGAGGAGGCATAGGTCATGCGGGTCAGTTGGTGCCATTTTTGACCCACAATCTGTCCATTTGCGGAAAGCCGCTCGCTGCGCCATCGCAGAAGAGGAGGAAGGAAAGATAGATAGTAAAGAGGGCAAGTGTGTGTGTGTGTGTGTGTGTGTGTGTATTTGATAGATCGAAAGAAGAAATAATGAGAGAAAGCTACACAGAATAATAAGCTGGGACAAGGAGAGGAAAAAACTAGGATAAGGAACAATTAGAGAACGAGGTAATAGTCGAAGCGAAAGTTGAAAGTGGCACGAGGCACAGTGAACGGCGGTTGCAAAGACTGAACAAAATGGCGGACGCTCCGCTCTTTATAGGCCACAGTGGGGAGGCGAGCGGAGCTTCCCACCAAAAACCGTTAGCTATCAATCTTCCGGCCACAGGCATTGCGCAGGCGCAGTACCCATATGTGTGATGCACAGAGGCCACGACAAAGAATGGCCAGTAATATTGTTTCCACACAGACACACAAGTAAGGCATTTCACGTATGTATACTTGTGTCAGCTCTTGCAAAAGTAGAACAACTGTTACAATGCCATCTTTGACAAATGTATTAAAAAGTAATATAAACTAAATGTAAGCTCAGAACTTTCACATTTCTTGTTCAAAATGTTTGCACAAGTATAAAGAGTATTTTCTATTCATATGAAAGCTATCTCTGGAACTTTTCAAATAAAGTCTCTTGATTTGCAAATTCTTTCTTGAAGCATAGTTTCCAGTATGAAGGACGATATCTTTGGAGCAGTTTTCTGAAGTGAAACAAAGCTGTTTTTTTAAATCAACAGCACAAGGCCAGCATAGTCTTATTAAGCCTCTTGGAAACAAAATATTAATCAAGCAAGAAGGTCTTTTGGAGATAGTGTGCTTCCAAACATCTGCTGGATCAGGTCCCTTCTTATTTGAGAGGAGATATAATTTAGCAATAGAGCTCATGCTTTGCCTGCAAGAGGTCCTAGATGCTATCATTAACATCTCCAGCCAGGGCTAAGAAAGAACCCTGTCAAAAACCTGGAGAACCACTGCCAATCATTGTAGGCAATTGTAAGCTGGTCTGATTTGGCATAAGGCAGAGGCCTATCTTCTTGTTAATAATGTGATATGAATACATTAGGAAATGTTAGGCAATATATATTTTGATCAATGAAAAGATCTGATGGGGGACACGTAGGGTCCTTTTAAAAAGATATATCTATTAATGCAAGACTTGCAAAGCTTATATGTGGCTCACAAAATCTTCTAATACTTATTCTTTTTCTTTCCCACACACATATAGGGAGGAATAACTCCTAGGATGGCTGCCACACCTGAAAGCAAGGAAACAGTTGTTGTTTTTAGAAGTAGTTTACATTCACCTGCCAATTAAGGCTACAATTCTTTTAACTAAAAACAGGTCTCACTTGAACACAGTGAAAATTACTTCTGCATATGTATAGGATTGCACTCCATTAAAACCAACATAATCCATTGACTAAGGGTGCAATTCTATGCATGCTTAGACAGAAAAGGTTACTTCAGTAGGGTGGCAATTCCAGTTTCTACATCTGCACCCAAAAACAGTATAATCTTGTCAGTTTTTCCCTAGGGTAGGATGGTTATAGCCTGGCCTTCAATATTAGACTCTGCAGGCAAGAAAAGCTGCAAGCAAGGGAAGAATGTCAAATCTACACCCAGCTTTAAGAAGTACAAAATGTTCCAAAATAATAAAATTACATACCTTGTGCAAGCATACTGAACTCCAAGAAGAGTGCTATATGATAAAGTTCCATTGCTTCTTCAGCTCTTGTCATGTTTGGCTTTCCTGCTACAAGAGCCTGAACTTCACTTAGACTCCCCACTGAGGGACTACTGTGCAAAATAGAGAGGTCCACCAAATCTGTGTACATGCAGTTTAAAATTACTCTCACGTATTTTTTTGGTATGATAGATTCATCCAGTATAATTCTTGTTGGAGTCCTTAATGTTCTATCAGTGATTTCTTCACCAGTCCTTATTCTCCGCTGCAGTAGGTGCCGAAAAAATGGTGACCGCGATGAAATTATAGCTTTGTGTGCTCTTAGCTCTTCATCCATGCAACTCTGACTTCCACCATAAGCTTCAACTAGTTCAGAGTCAGACGAAAAGCTGAGAACTACATCACAGTAACACATGTAGTCCAACAGCCCTCGCATATCAACATCTAAGGAATTTGGAGTTCCAAATTCCTCACTAAGCTGCATGAGGATGTCAACATTCTGAAATCTTGAGTCTTCCATTCCAAATTCTCCTGTGTACAGGTAGTGTAACAAAGCAGAAAACATGGGCAGGTCTATGCCAGCTGTGTTGATATCCATTATAATCTCTGCACCATATTCTGGTGAAGAAGAAATCAAGGTCTTAAAAAATGGACACCGTGCAGCCAAAATTGCACGATGCACAGGGAAACAAGTCTCTTGAAATATCAGATCCACATCTGTACAGTATTTAAACTCATACAGGTCAGCCATATCTTTCTGGAGTGTTCTAGCTTCTGGTCTTGCTAAATTAGCTTGCAGAGAAAGCTCTTTTAAGGATGAAGTTCCTTCATACTCTTCCACTAATGCATTGACATCTCTAACATCCCAGCCTGAGAGGAGCTCACGCATCTGCTTGGCATGATCAGCAGATCGGCTAGACTTGCGGCGCTTTATAAACTTCTTTTTGAGGGTGGCAAGCCCAGAACTTTTCTTTTTCTTGTCTTGAGGTTTCTCGTGGCCATGGTCAAGGCTATACAGTTTAGATTCACAGCCATAGCCTTGATGCGAATAAGATGAAGTTCCTGAAAAGAAAAGGAAGATTCAGTGTGGTTAAAGCCAATATGTAACATGAAAAGTCCAAAAGCACAAGTTGTTGCTTATACTGGTATATGTTTGAAGCAATTATGCACACACTTCCATGTACTCAAGGTGACACAAACCTAATTACCAAAATAATTTTAAACCATTTTTAAGAGAATACATATAGCAGAAATTATGGAGAAAAACAATCAACAACCATACCCTCAAAACAAATAAAACAAGGAGAATTCTAAAACATTTCTGAAACCAGGGCACATATTTAACCATAACCTGCAGTAAATATCCTTACAAAATTATGGTCTCTATTTCTCCCCTCCACCACACACATGGACACACACACTTCACTTAAAAACAAAACAACAATGCTGCTGCTGTAGAAATCTATCTTTGGTAAGAGTACTCCCATCCGACCAGTTAGAGACTAGTGTCTCAGGCCTTCTAAATCTCTCTTTTTTCTCTTGTGAGGAGGGAAACATGAGCTAGAAGAGGGAGAATTGGGCTGAACATCAATTCATTTATCTGGAATATATGACTAAGTGGAAAATTTCTAGTTGTTTTCCTGTGGTTTTACTATTTTTGTCTATTTTATGTCTTTTCATTTTCCCATTTTGAAAAATTATATATGTTTAACACTATCCTTCAGAAAGCCAGTATACTGACATAACTTGCAAGATTCAAAAGAGAAAAAAAAGACACTGCATTCTGCTTGCTTCACTTACCAGCTTTCAAAACCTGTCTGTTATTTTATGTACATGACCATATGAGTAAATATGGTTTCTAAAAATTTGTGGCTTGTTACTAAAATCATCACACTGGTACCTAAAATCCTGAAATGTTTCTAGTCCCATGGAAAACTTACTTTTCTAATTTGAAGTTAGCTGAAATGTGTTTACATAACTATTGCTGTGTTTGATTAAATCCATGCCATACAGTTCCTTGTGTACAACGGTTTGTGCTTTTACTCCTGTCATGTTTTTAGGTTCCTGTATAGATTTTCCATGAGATCTACATACTAGGACCAAAACTGCACAGGGTTCTAATCCAATGCCAACTGATAATTTTTCATAGCCACCACCACTTTAAAGCTATACTGGAATGCCCCAAGCAAAACAGAAGCTACTGTGGGAGCAGGAATTATTTATTTATTTGGCCCTGGTCACTGTTTTTCAGTCAAGATTCTGGACCTTATTGCTAATCTGGGTATGGAGTCAAATATACAGTCAAGCTATCTTCAAAAGACTCTGGGAAAAGATGGGAGAAATCTAACACTGATACCTAGTCAGAAGAACTCTTTTCAAATAAAGGGTTTTTATGATAGAAAGAAGCAGAAAGAAAGAGTATAAAAATAGACAAATCTCATTACAACAAACTAATGCATCTCTTTGACACTTGGATAGCAATATTTAGCACACAGTCATAAACTTACAGGTTCCAAAAAGTCCATTATACAAAACCATTTCCAACATGAAGACAACCCAAATGTGTGAGGCTACATAGTCCAGCCAAATGGACTATATTTCTGGATGCATCCATCATGATCAAAAGTGCAGCTGGACAGCCATCTGACAGGGATGATTTAACTCGGTTTCCTATGCGGAGCAAAGGGGTAGACTTGATGGCAGTCTGGCCCCTTCTAACTCTACTATTCCAGGATTCTATGAAAAGCCAAGTGTAGCCGAACAATAACCCTGGATTTTAGGGGAGCCAATTGTAATAAATTCAGAACAGATGAGTAAAGTTCCATGGCAAGCAACTCTAATGAGTGAAGGAATCAAAGGTGGGTGAGAATTTTTAGAAAAGGAAATTCTAAAGGCAAAAGGAAATTCTAAAGGCATGCATGTATAAATAAATAGTACAAACAATTCCACAAGGGGAAAAAGGTGGAAGACAACAGAAGAAGACAATATGGCTTCACTAAATGTTTAGAGATGATATGAAAACAATAAACAACATTTATAGGAAATGGAAGGAAGACCAAGCTGCAAAAACCAGTAGCACAGAATTGTGGGAATGGCATCACTCTAAAACTGAAAATCAGCTAAAGGATGCTAAAAACAGCCTCCAACCCCCAAAAAGGGCTTTTTCAAATATATGCATAATAAAAGATAAGATAAGGTAATGGTGGTTCAGTTACTCAATGACCAAATGATAGCAGATGAGAAAGGAAAGGCTTTAGTACTCAATTCCAACTTTGGCTAGGTCTTCTCTCAAGGTCTATGACCTCCCTGTCAAAGGTGAAGTACAAGCTGCAGAGCAGGAATGAAGCTTCAGGAATAATAAGGAACACCTTATTCCTTATTTATTTAGAAAATTTCTATGCCGCCCCATTCACCGAAGCCTCGGGGCGGCTCACAAAGATATCAATTAAAATATCATACAATAAAATATAAACTAGTTACCAATATAAAATAAAATAAGTCACCCTGGCTGAAGAATGAAATAAATAAATAGTATTAACAGTTAAAACGACGTTTGAATAAAAAGGTCTTCGTCTGGCGCCGAAAAACAAATAATGATGGCGCCAGGCGGACCTCTCTGGGGAGCGCATTCCATAGATTGGGCACCACTGCAGAGAAAGCCCTCCTCCGAGTACCTACCCTCCTAATTTCCTTCACGGAGGGTTCCCAGAGAAGGGCCTCTCCCACAGTTCTCAGGGGGCGGGCGGGCATATGTGGACGTAAGCGCTCCTTCAGGTAACCAGGCCCCAAGCTGTATAGGGCTTTATAGGTCATCACCAACACCTTGAATTGGGCCCGGACTTCAATGGGAAGCCAGTGAAGCTGACGGAGGACTAGTGTCATGTGAACATAACGCCCAGTCCCTGTCAGCAGCCTGGCAGCTCTATTTTGAACCAATTGAAAATATCCGGACCGTCTTCAAGGGTAGCCCCACGTAGAGCACGTTACAGAAGTCAAGGCAGGAAGTCACCAGCGCGTGTGTCACTGTCGCCAGGCAGTCGTACTCCAGGTAGGGGCGCAGCTGATGGATCAGTCGAAGCTGAAGGAAAGCGCTCCTTGCCACTGCTGTCACCTGAGCTTCCAATGAAAGTTCTGGGTTGAGGAGCACTCCCAAGCTGCAGACCTTGCCCCTAAGAGGGAGTGCAACCCCATTCAGGACTAGGTTCAATTCACCCTCTCCAAAGCCCGATCCGCCAACCAACAGGACCTCCGTCTTGTCTGGACTGAGTTTCAGTTTATTGGCCCTCATCCAGCCCATTACCTCGGCCAGGCACCAGTTCAGTACAGCCACTGCCTCACCTGGATTGGTAGAAAACGAGAGGTACAGCTGGGTATCATCAGCGTACTGATGATTCCGCAGCCCACACCTCCTGATGACCTCTCCCAGCGGTTTCATATAGATGTTAAATAGCAGAGGGGATAGAATGGGGCCCTGTGGTACTCCATGGCATAGCTGCCATGACGCAGAGACATGGTCCCCCAGCACTACCTTCTGGAATCGACTGTGAGATAGGAGCGGAACCATTGCAAAGCAGTGCCTCCAACCCCCAATCCCACTAGCCTATCCAGAAGGATACCATGGTCGATGGTATCGAAAGCTGCTGAGAGGTCCAGAAGAACCAACAGGGACGCACTCCCCCTGTCCTTCTCCCTGCACAGGTCATCGTACAGGGCGACCAAGGCAGATTCAGTTCCGTACCCGGGTCTGAAGCCGGACTGAAATGGGTCCAGATAATCAGTTTCATTCAAGAGAGCTTGGAGTTGTCCCACCACCACCCGCTCCAACACCTTGCCCAGAAACAGGATGTTGGCCACTGGTCTATAATTAGTGGCCATCTCTGAATCCAGTGACGCTTTCTTCAGGACCAGTTGGACTACCACCTCCTTTAAAGGGGCAGGTACCCAACCCTCCCTCAGAGAAGCATTGACCACTTCCAAGATCCAGATCCCAATCCCGTGCTTGGAGTTATTTATTAACCAAGACGGGCAAGGGTCCAATAGGCAAGTGGTGGGATGTACTCATCCAAGCACCTTGTCCACATCATTAGGCCACAATAACTGAAATTCATCCATTAATTTTGGACCAGACAGCAGCATTGGTGTCTCCCCAGAAACCTCTGAGTCACTAGTAGAGTCTAGCTCGTGACGAATCTGAGCGATTTTCTCCCTGAAATGCTTGGCAAAGTCGTCACAGCGGGCCTTCGAGGGTGGAACCAGATCTTTCTTAGGACCTGGACAAACCAGGCCTTGCACCACTCGAAAAAGCTCCGCTGGACAGCATTTTGAGGTGGCAATGGAAACGGAAAAGAATTTCTTTTTCGCCACCCTCACCGCCACAGCATAGGCCCGATAATGGGCTATCAAGTGTGTTCAGTCAGATTCATCCCATGATCTCCTCCACCTACGCTCTAGCCGTCTCCCAGCCTGCTTCATCACCCGCAGTTCAGGTGTATACCAGGGGGAAGAGTGGGCTCTGCCCGGCGGGAGAGGATGCTTAGGAGCAATCGTATCAACAGCCCTGGTCATCTCCCCATTCCACAGTTCGACCAGAGCCTTGACAGGAGCACCAGTCTTGTCAGCCGGAAACTCCCCCAGGGCCTTCAGGAATCCGTCCGGATCCATGCGGCTCCGGGGGCGGACCCACACAATTGGGTCCGCACCCTTACAGAGGGAGAGGCTGCTCTCGAGCACAAACCTCACCAGGAAGTGATCTGACCATGACAGGGGTGTCAGATATAAATTCCTCACCCTCAGACCACCCTCTTCCTGCCCCGTCGAGAAAACCAGGTCCAGAGTGTGTCCACGTTCATGGGTCGGGCCGGTGACATGTTGAGACAGCCCCATGGCCGTCATGGAGGCCATGAAGTCCTGAGCCGCCCCGGTCATACTAGCCTCGGCATGGATATTGAAGTCCCCCAGGACCAGCATCCTGG